CACCATTGTTTGATTTCTAAAGAACAGAAAAAAAAAATGCTTTGCATGATTGCAATATTTGTTCACTTGTTTCTTTTGAATGCAAGACTCCAGAAAGATTTAGAATGTATTTGGTCATTGTCAATCATTCCAGACTATGTTACACTGTTGTTTCCTGTTTTTGTTGTAGTGTGACCATTATGTCTAAATGCAACGTTTGCATTGTTCTTTTGACTATGTGCCACAACCACGTACTTCCTTAGCCAGCATTGACAATGTGGATTATGAATTGCAGGGTGATCGTAAGGTCATGGCCAAATTGTGCTAAATGCAATTCAAAAATTTGTCAGATTCATCAAAAATCTGCCAAATTCCCCAGAATTACTCGAAATACACTTAAATCACATGTAGATGATGCAGTGTTGCCTTAATTAAGGTTCAAATTACATTATAGATAATCTATAGTAACATAAAATTGCGTAAATTTCAGGCAAAACGCTGTTACGTCACAACAAAGTCTGGTTCCCAGTGAACCGCAGCACCTAGACCAGCCAACCTGTCCTATTATGCAAGGGTTTCTTTGAAAAGATTGAAGCTTTTTTAAACAAATCTACAATTTTTTCTTCAAATTTGCTACGTTTTTCTGTCAAATATCTATTTTTTTTGCAGAAATGTGCCCAAAAAAATCCATTCTGTCAATTTTTCTGTCAAACCCGTTGTTTTCACAATTTTTTTGGGTCAAAGTTAGCCGAAAATCGGCTAAAACGGTCACTCTGTTGAATTGTCAATGATAGGCTGGTTCCCAGCCCCTCTATAGCTAATGTCAATGAAGAATAATTCTCCTGGCATGCAGTGATTTTTAACACGCAATAAAAGCGCATGTGAACCAGCGAGGAAGAGATAGCCTGGTTCTTTCCCCTCCCTCCCTTCAGAGTGTGGTTTAGTGGAGGGACTGGAAACCAGCCTACAGTGCTCTCACTGTTCGGAAAAAGTTGTTTCCCAAAAACTTTGGATTATGTCTTCATTTTCGTCTTCATGTTTGTGTACCATAGTAGGACAACTCCAGCCCAATATGAGACATGTACTACTTCAGGAATATCCAACCAAAAAATGTGAGGCTAAACAACTCGGCATTTTCATTTTGATTTGTCCATAACATTCTCCTGAAAAAAAACAACATTAAAAAAGCAATGTAGCAAAAGGTGGAGACGAAGCTTTAAAAATCCGTTTTGCCTTTCCGTGCCCTGCATCGTTAATAACACACCAAAAGGCGAAAAATCGCCAACGAATGAGCAGTGCAGACCTTTTAATATATACTCATCATCCTCTTTTCAGTTTTTGCACGGATTAAAAGAAAATCAAACTTATGGAGCACAAAATGTAAGGATACTTGTGAAAGAAGTGTTTTTCTGAGGCTGTCAAAAATTACTGCAGTGCCGACAATACCGATTTCGTGTTTTATTCTTTCTGAAAAATTCAGTGTGGTACATGTACATGTACATGTTTTTTGTTTGAAGGCTTTTCGAAGATTCAAAAGTTTGAAAACGGATCAGAAGTTCTTTTTAAAGGTGATCTATAGTTCTGAAGTGTTCGAGTTGAAGGAGTAATGTGTTCCCAGATTGGTTTCTCTTGTCAAGTTGTAGGAAAGTACGCACAGTCCATACAAAGTAATGATGTGTCATTGGTTGTTCTAATACCATTTTAGTAAAACATGAAAACCTAGCAAACAACCCCGTACAATGAGGTATTGATATAGCCATTGACATTGTATGTATTGTAAGCAAGCTTGGTACCATTTGAGACTCATTAAACTACATTTCGGTCAGAAACTTTGGTCAGACATTTGTATCTTTTGCTTTGTTTTGTCACGAAATAAACATCGTTTGACTTAAGATAAAAGTGTGGTCGTCGGTTTCGTTGTGGGATTGTGCCTTTTGCACTTCTAGGAAGAAGTAAACTTCTAGGAAGAATAAGGTGTTTAAGCTTTTACGTGTTTTTGTGGTCATTGTGGGAAGAGGACGTCATATTTCTGTTTTAAATAGTTCTGTCGCCCATCCCCCCCGTCAAAATGTTGAGATTATCCTCCCCGTCCTGTGATCTACGCCGCGCCCCTTCTCTGTGTCATATTCCATAATGTCTCGAACGATGACTTAATAATAGCCACTATGATACCACTGGAATCGATTCTTTGAATTCGGTTCTTTGGAGTCTCCAGCGGCCAAAACAATATATAAAATCATGGCCGGTCCAATTGGTGTTCCTACTAGGGTCCAATGTGCTGCGGGATGTGTTTTGAATAATACATTTCGCATTTTGTATCTTCCTCAAATTTCAGAGGGAGAAAGTGCACAATGTTGGACAGACCTCGATTGGGGAGGGGGTATGAATAACGGCCCAGTTATGAATTAAAAAGGCGCAAACAATCAGTTCCATTGACATATATTTCCATCAAAACCAAAGTTACAATCCATAAAATTAAATATAACATGTTATATACATTACATTATATACAACTACTGTAGTTGTATATATTGTAGTACAATATAATTATATACAGGTTGTTTCAAGCAAAAAAACCCAAAACAAAACAGATGTCCTCCATCCATAGAGCCTATGCTCTATCCAATGAATTAAGATCACGTCAATGTCATTGTATGACTGAGCAAAAAAGGCCTCTATTTACGAAAGATGCCAAAATCCGCACCGTGACAAGTTACTACACAATGGAACAGTGGTGACAGGGAAACAACAATTAATAGGTGCTTCATTGAAGGATTATCTTTCTGATTACTCAATCTATTAATTATTATTTTTTGGGGGGGTAATTACATGATAAATTCATGGCCTCTCAACCGCCATTTCTGTCAATGCATAGCTCACATCGTCGCTTCATAATCTCTGACAGCACGTATCGTCATTCCTTGGTTTGGCGTTGATCCGCCTCATTAGCTATCCCGGTTCGTAAACTCCTGAATGTTAGCTGGGGAGAGGTGAAAACCTCGTCATTTCAGTGACCCCAGAAGAGAAAGTCACATGGTGATATCTGGTGATCTTTGGGTCAAGGCAGTCGAAAAACGAAATCACCTTCGTTGTCACCAAAAGCTCTGTCAAACCATGCGATGTCCACAGCAACAAGTCTATGTGACAGTTCATGAGCCTACTATGCATCGCTGTCTTTGGAAGATCAGCTTCATCTGTGGTACCATCATGGAGCTATAGCTCCATGGTACTGTCAAGTCATTGATCATATCCAGATAACATTAGGTAAACCGTTTATAGCTCCATGGGTAAACCTATCTTACCTATAGAGCTACATTATATAACTCTATGGTCCTACCATAAGTTCTTGAGTAACAGCAAAAGAATAACATTTGTCTGTCCTTTGCCTCCCAGATGACAAAATGAGCTTAATAGCACTGGATAGAGGACACTTGCCTTTTTCCTTGTTGTAGTTGCCGCTTTCTGACATATTCAGTTTATATCTGATAATGTACATTTGAAAATTGGTATATGTTTTATATCATCAAGTCAATATGACACCAAATGCATCGAAAGTTGATTCCAAAATTATCACAACTATATCATGGAGTCAATAATTTTATGACACCAAATGCATCGAAAGTTGAATCCAAAATTATCATAACTATATAAAGCAATACGAAAGCAACATAAATGTTTTCGGGTGCAAAAACATGTGGTACTTATTACATGCTCTTCAATCCTCAATATAACGGAGAGATGCAGTAGTGAACCATCGTGTTATGCCTACAGAGTGTCCAAAAAAGTGCAAGCAGGATTTACACAGTTAACTTAATCTACATCAGAGTGAAAAGGCCCATGACAATCTGATGCACTGATATCAATCACTAATTGTGTAAATCCCTTTGTAATGGGTGAAAAACCCATAGCCTTTTACAATCTGTTAGATCTCTGATTTGCATAAACGGATTTCCATGTCATTTTCACTGATTATACACGTACACAAGAGTATAATTAATATGCTCCATCAAGATGTAATACTCATACAGGGTGTCCTGCGGATGTTTACACCATCTTCAAGGTAAGAGATTAAGCTTGAGAATACCGTTTGTTTCATTGAGATTGCTTTTGTAAATCCAAAGATATGTTTGAATAACGGCAAAGCCAAGAAACCCATTTTGTGCCACTTTCTGTGAAGCAGTTAAAATCAGTATAGTCCTAGTCTAAAACCAAATCTCTTTACTGTTAGTGATTTTAACATTTTTAAGTAGAGTGTGCAATATTTATTTATATTGAATTGAACCCTTTCATTGAAGTTTTAAAGAAGTGAACCTGTCTGTACTATTAAACTGTTTCAACAGAAGAACAAAACCCTATATTGTCGTGTGAATGGAATGTTTGTCTTACACCCATAGTGATAATCTTATCAAAAGAGCCATACTGGCATTGTCTGATCTTTGAAGCACTCGCTTCCTAAAAGTGGCACAGAATGTTTTTTTTTGGCTTTGCGGTTATTCAAACATATCTCTGGATTTACAAAAGCAATCTTAATTAAACAAATGGTATTCTCAAGCTAAATCTGTTGCCTTGAAGATCGTGTAAACAAGTGCAGTAAATTCCGGTCGAAAATGGCGAGGTTTACATGCACCATTATTTTCAGGACACCCTGTATAGCTTTTGAGAAACTCAAAGATATCTGCTTGCACAACTTTTTTGGGACACCTTGTAGTGATCGAGACAGGACTGTGTGTGCTATTAATGAACATCAGAAGACTGACTCCGTCTCTTTTGGGTTAACATAAACAAAAATAGGGGTAATAATTGAAAACAAGTAAATTACCGACAAAATGGTCAATTCCACGCAAAAGTGACCACGGCTGCATGGAAAGTGAAAACTGTATGAAACCTTCCAAAACCACAAGCATCACAACATCAAATGTATGTGGTGTCGAATTAAAGGGGACAACAAGATCTTTCATTTGAGTGGTGTGCAATGAATTAAGTGTGGTTTTTGGTCAAAAACCTTGTTTTTTGGACTAAAATCATGGATTTTTGGTAGTCATTTTGGCACCTTGTTTTAACATGCAAAATGTGACTGGTCTTGAGAGTTTCTGTGTTTAAGGCAGAGAGAAAGGTTCATAATTATAAGAAAAGAGTTTCATTATGTTGCAGTTCATGAAACTCAGATTCTATGCCGTGTTAGAAACCATGAAAAGGAAGTAAACGTGAGTGACGTCACGTGAGTGACGGTACCTCCCTGTAATCTAACGTCCCTTGCATCTAAAATACACACTTATTTGATTTAAAATGGGTTTTTATATCTAGCTATGGGTTGAATGAAAGGTGACATAATATTACTTCTGTGTGGCAGACTACAGTTGGAGGAGACTGTAACAACAAAATTGCAGGACAATTTTCCATCATGTCCTAACTTTTTGTGTAACGTGGCTGACGACCAACAAAACACGTTTTCAAAACGTAAATGAATGAATTGAATATTTTTTCCCCATTTTTGAGTACCCCTTACCCCAAGGTTGTTGTGTGGCTGGTTTGATTCAGTTGGATCAAATACTTTTGAAGCAGTGAGAGGTCAAAGTAGCCTTTTGCATATTAAATGTAACGTGAGTGACGGTGAAATTGCCCAAATGCAAATTTAGAACTTTGTCTACAAATTTTAAACCGGACCCTGGACGACGTCCATTTCCCGATTTTCACTGACTAGCTCTGTTTTGTTTTGTACCACGTTACTCTCTGAATCTGCGCATACCAGCGTCTTGCGACCTTTTCCGCAGAACACCGCTACGAGGCCTTCGCGAAACTGATGGTATTTGAGCGCATAGACGAAGGGATTGACGCTCATGTTACACGTCACCAACACCACAGTCAAGTGGTAGAAGGCCCCAGCAAAGTCCAAATGACCCCCCAGACTGTAGTAGAGGTACAGGATCTGATTGGGGCTCCAACAAACCACATAGACCATCACCACCAGAGCCAAGACCTTGAGGATGTTTTTCTCCAAGCGCTCTTGCGTCCCTGGTTGCACTCCCCTAGCGCCCTCCCCTCTGTTCCTCTCTGGTGAGGTCCGCCTGACCTCACGCAGGATGCTGGAGTAAGTGAAGACCATCACGGTCAGAGGGATCAAATAGAACAAGACCACAGTGACAACACCGACTGCATGCTGCACCACCTCGCTCTCAAAACGAGCGAAAAGACAGTACTTGTCGTATAACACGTCGGACATGAATATCAGGTTGCTGAGAAGGACAAATCCGGCCACCCAGAATACTGCGAAGAACCTCGTCACCCGGGCCGGGCTGTAGACGGTGCTGTGGCGCAGTGGCCGTACGATGGCGTGGTGGCGCTCCAGCGTAAGCGCCATCAGGTTGATTGTAGAGACCATGAAGCAGGACCACACAGGGTAGCGGCTGAACCAGAACATGCAAGCAGACAAGGACATGACGTAGTCGGCAGATGCAGCAACCTCAGAGAGAACTACAGATGCCATGAGCACGGCGCTGGTTAGGTCGATCACAGACTGGTGCAAAATAAGCAGATTGGTGGTTGTCGAACGCATCTTCCGGACGGATGATATGATCACGATGACCAAACTGTTGCCCACGATTCCAATGATGCTAACCACGAGGTACACGGGGATGAGCCATCCCGTTGGTGCCTGGCCGTACACGTCATCTGGAGGGCTAGTTGCAGTCACATTCTCATCAGCCATCACCTGAAAAGTGAAAACAATGTTGAAGTCGAGTCCATTACAAGTCCTCCAGGAGTCACACACAATTCGTCCATTCTCAAGTCAAGTCACAAGCTATTCAAATGAACGGTACCAGAAGTTGTCTCTTGCTTCTGATTGGGCTTGTACGGAGCTCTGGAAGTGCCATCCGACTTGTTCAGATACTGACTTGTTTTATCTCAGGATGACGACATAATACAGGAAAGATGACGACATCCTGAGATGATTCATTAGGGGATGGCGACATTCTGAAAGTAGGATGACGACATCTCGAGATAATTTATTATGGGACGACGACATCCTGAAAATAGGATGACGATATCCTGATATAATCTATTATGGCATGACAACATCCTAAAGGTAGGATGACAACATCCTGAGATAAATTATTAGGGGATGACGACATCCTACAATGAGGAAGACGACATCCTGAGATACTTTATTAGGGGATGACGACATCCTGAAAATAGGATGACGACATCCTCATATAATTTATTATGGGATGATGACATCCTGAAAGTAAGATGACGACATCCTGAGATAATTTATTATGGGATGACGACATTCTGAAAGTAGGATGACAACATCCTTAGGTAGACGCCATCCTGGAAGCAGGGTGATGACACCATGACATAATTTATCACAGAGTGCATTGAAGCCATCTTCAATACGCACAGGTGGACGTGCGGCTTGTAAACAATTTACCCTACCGCTGTATATACAAGGTATATATTTGATGATGAGAGGTCGTGATGTCTGTGCGTTTCCAAGATGGATTCAATGCACCCCGTAATATCTCAGGATGTCCTCATCCTACTTTCAGGATGTCAGCGTCATATCCTAATAAATTATCTCGGGATGTCGTCATTCTATTTTTAGGATGTCGTCCTCCCATAATAAATTATCTCAGGATGTCGTCATCCTATTTTCAGGATGTCGTCATCCCATCATAAATTATCTCAGGATGTCGTCATCCTATTTTCAGGATGTCGTCATCCCATCATAAATTATCTCAGTATGTCGTCATCCTATTTTCGGGATGTCGTCATCCCATCATAAATTATCTCAGGATGTCGTCATCCTGTTTACAGGATGTCGTCGTCCCCTAATAAACTATCTCAGGATGTCATCATGCCAGAAGACATTTTTTTAAAGATGTTGTCATCCTATTATCAGGATGTCGTCATGCCATATTAAATGTCGATATGTCGTCATCCTACTTGGAGGATGTCGTCATCCCCCAACAAATTATCTCAGGATGTCGTCATCTTGCCTGTATTTTGTCGTCATCCGGAGATAAAATATGTCAGTATCTGAACAAATCGGATGGCACTTCCAGAGCTCTGTAGACTTGTGATGAACTCGACTATAACATTATGGAATACTTTGCTTGTTTGCATGTACAATAAACTCCACCGACACCACGAAGTGACCTTAACCCCCGCGAAGTGGAAAATGTGTGTTTCGAGATACAAGCGATTTAAGTTGACGATGTTTTAAAAGGGTGATCTGAACATCGTTTTAGCCTCAAGGTTCATATTTCTTTTTACATTGTCTGAAAGCTGGAATCTTGAATGTCACGTTAATGTATGATTTTTATTGAAAACAAATAATATTAATGAGTTATCAAACTAATTAACCATAAGGTCACTTCGTGAAAACTCAAAAGTCAGATTACGCTGTGTTCGAGTTTTCATGGGCTCAGCGCTACTTCGTGAAAACGCCAGAAGTGAGTCGCGTATTATCACGTGACAGATAGTATTATCACGAGGTGATAGATTATGTGTAATTAATCACAAATCAGGAAAAAATCAAATCGTAATATATCGATTTTTCGATGTTTGTGTCACTTCGTGGTGACGGTGATGAATTGAGAACCATGACGTCCCTAACCTCATTCAAGTCTGAACTACGTAAAATGTTCAGTCAGTAATATTAATTCTGCATATATTCTTGTGTGTATTTTGTTTCGCTGTCTTCGCTGATTATACACATCTAAATAGGCCTATGTGCTGATCTACGGAGACAACAAACTTGGTTGCCATAATGACATGAGAGAGCTGCCTAAATCGCATAAAATGTACGGAATGCTTCCCTTCTTTAAAAGAAAAAAGAAACGAAAATAAAACCATAACAAACCATGATGATGGTAAAACATCAATCTGATGCATGCCTTTTCATGTCGTAGGTTGCTAAGCTATTTAATAAGAACTCGTGGCTGACAATCAGGCTCAACGTTTTTACTTTTATTTCTCTTTAAGGTTATTTTCATTCCTTAGGAGCGCACTTGAAAGATTTATTATTTTCTTTCACTGTAAAACAAAGAGGGGAACACGTTAAGACGTGTAACACTATTTGTTTCTAATTTCTCTGAAGTCTTTTGTTCCTTTCCCATGACTAAACTTTGAAAATTATTCTTTTTATTATTAATTTTTTGGTCAGTTTAAAAATAAAAAAACACCTTGGAAACAAGTAGAGGTTGCAAGTATATTAAAACCCGACTTACCTGAGAATCAGATGGGAGGGGGGGGGGGGGGGGAGGAGGAGGGGGAGGGTTAAAAGTGACTGGAACTCATAATGCATGCAAACAACAAAACGTCCAAAATTATTGTCTAAATTTAACTTTTTCATATGATTTTTTTTTCAATTACTATATTTCACTTTTTTGTTTAAATGGAACAAAATATTTGTTTATTTTGTCCATGGTAAATTCCTTTTGGTCCCGAGTTCAGCGAACTTTTCACTGCTCGATCAACATGATTTAATCCAATATACTTATCTTCATTTCGGTTTTCTTTTGTAGATTGTACAGATTCCTAACAATTTTAGGTTGCGTCAATGACCTTAATTTCTCTACGAATTCTGGATTTCGGAGTAATTCAAACATAGCAAATAAGTGAGATAGGACAGAAGCCCATTTCCACGTTTTCAACCATGCTGATGTAATGATCTCTACGAAACCAATTATTTATTTACTGAGCTGCAATACTGGGCAAATTTGAGTCAATTGGTGGATAATTGATGATTAAGGCAAAAAAAAATCAGACTTCTTATTTGAAAAAAAATGTATATTACCCTTTAGTTTTGCGCGGCAACTTCCCGGCAAGGTAAAATCACGATCTGCACGCCCTCAAAATCTTCAGTATTTGAGCATGCTGTGGGCCATGAACTTGAGGGTTTGTAAAAAATATGGGTGGAAGCCGTGCACAGGACTGTTTGCTTGTAGTTCTGTGCAATTTGGATGAAATTGGGGCCCTAAAAGCGCTTCCCCCTAAGATTTCGGCCATCGAGTGACGCAAAGGTTTGAAACTCGGTACATGCATAGAGCAACTCATCATGAACATACTCACGAAATTTCATGACTGTTGAATTATGGCTAACTAATTATGCATAAGTACGAATGGTAATTCTGCTCTGTATACACGACGTAGGCCTATATGGGAAAATTCAGTTTTCACGGCGCGGAGCGCCGGAAATTGTGTTTTCCAAAGGCGCGTAAAACCACCTTTCCAGTTTGCACTTCCTGGATAAATGTAGATTTTTAGTTTATCAGTGATTTTTCCTTTGTGTGAGAGTGTCAAAATAAATTATATTGCAATTAATTCCACGAGTCAAGGCCTGTTTCGTCGTGATTCACCGGATCAAAAAGACAGCATTGAGGCCCTCGGCTTCAGTGCCAATTTGAAATTACTCTATTGGATCGATTGTATGGACCCAAATTAGGTAGACCTTTCCTTCGACAGGAAGTTTCTTGGAAATTTATTGAAGTATTACAAAATAATTTTTGAGGTAAAAAACTATTTTTTTCCAGCTCAGAATCTGCTACGGTAGTCTGTTCGTGCCAGGTTGTAAAAAAAAGAAAAAGAAGTTTATTACGAAATAACGTAATAGTTTTACTAAATAACACAATAGTACTGCGAAATAACCCAATAGTTTTGCAAAATAACGCAATGGTTTTGCGAAATAACGCAAGAGTATTGCGGAATAACGCAATAGTTTTTGCGAAATGAAACACACTGGTTTTGCGAATAAAATATGAAGGAATGCATAAGTCCGAATGGTTGAACCTTTATAGGCAAGTTCGCAGCAAATTCTTAAGCCCGGTTCATACTCCACGCGAATGCGAATGCGAAGCGAATTCGACGTCATGAAACATTCGCTGCGAAGTTGAAATATGTTCAACTTTTACGAATTCGCAGCGCAAATACTTGCCACGACGTCACAAATTCGCGTTCGCTTTCGCGCTGAGTATAAACCGGGCTTCACGCCATATTTTATGACAGATTGTCTCTAAAAGCCCACCGAGTGCACGGCGGATCCTAGATTTTTTTTAAATGGGATTCACGGAGGGTTTGAAGTCAACACAGAAAACGCCCGGTTAATACTTCATGCTATGCGAAGCGAATTTGACGTCATGAAACAATCGCTGCGAAATTTGCCCTCGTTGAAATATGTTCAACTTTTACGAATTCGCAGCGCGAATACTTGCCATGTCGTCACAAGTTCGCGTTCGCTTTCACGCCGAGTATGAACCGGGCTAAATAATAAGACGGACCAAAGACCTTAAGCAATGACTCGAGATTGTCTGACGAGTCACGAGTGTTATTCCACGAATCTTAGGAATTATTGGGATTTTCCAGCGTATTAAGCCCGGTTCATACTCGGCGCGAAAGTGAATGCGATGCGAATTTGACGTTAGGGGAGCGTTCGCTGCGACATTCGCCGGAGTTGAAATGTGTTCAACTTTTGCGAATTCGCAGCGCGAAAACCTGTCCTGACGTCACAAATTCGCGTTCGCGTTCGCGCCGAGTAGAACGCCGGGCTAAAGCCCGGTTCATACTTCACGCGAATGCGAATGCAAAGCGAATTCGACGTTCTGGCACGTTCCTTATACGTTCTGGCACGTTCCTTTCGCCTTTGCGCAGAGTATGAACCGGGCTTTTCATACTCGGTGACGTGAGACCGATCACGTGAGAGGGTTAACCA